CGTCTCAATTCATGCTTATAAAGCAACATCAAGCACCAGACTGACATCGCTGACCTGCTGGCCGGCAAGATCCTCAAGTACAGGTATCAGGTCGAGGAGCTCGTTGTCGTGTGCGTCAGAGAACCAGCTACTGATGGGGACGGCGTGTTGCGGGTGGAAGATGTACGACGTGGGCGAGTTATCGATGATGATGGTATCTTTGAGGTCGCGGCCGATCTGTGAAAGATCCTGTGATAGGTTAGCATTGAGCAAGCGGAGACAACATTGGCAATCATACCTTGACGTAGTTGCCCTGGTGGTTGTAGCAACTTTCGCGGAACAGCCGGTGGTGAACAACGCCGTGGATGTCAAGTTGGTCGAGAAGGGGGTCACCGTACTAGTCTCGTCAGTATGAAGTATGTGTTTGTGAGTCCATCGTGTGCTTACCTTTGAGACGGACGCGGTGAACACGACAACCTCGTAGAGCTCGCCAACCCTCTTCATAAACTGGTCGACGCCTGGTCGCTTGATGACATACACGTTGTGGTATTGGCCTTCAATCTCGACAGGGATGGTGAAGTCGGCTTGGTGCAGAATCTGGCTACGTTAGCAAATCGAAGCAAATACAGCGGCAGGGGAACGTACCTTAAAGCTGCTGTGGACTAAAGTCTCATCCAGGTCGAGTACCAGACACTTCTTTCCTTGAAACCTGGGTGCGATGGGTCCCAAAAGGTACTTCTGTTGCTCTGCCGCCTCTGCAACGTCTGCGGTCTGGTGCTGAACAGCGACCTGTCTCTCTGCCAGCGGGGGTGGTGGAGGAAGATCGACCTTGGGGTGCTCAGCCTCGGCCTCTGCGCTTGTCTCCTCTCCCTCTTGATGAACATCATTAGTCGATAGCGGCACATCTTTCATCTCAATGTCGTTGTCGATCTGCTTCTGCTCCTCGGTCTGATCCTGTATTATGCGCTCTTGCTCTGCTGACGGCCGAGGAAGTACCGGAGTAGCGGTGGGCGTAGGGTTTGTGATGCTTATCTGGGGGTGACCAGTCTGCAGGGTGCCGGGCTGGGGCGGGGAAACTGTGTCTGTTGGCTGCTTCTGGGATGGGCTTCTTGTCACGACCTGGGGTTGGTCTCCGACTGACGCCTGCTCGGTTGTGCCATCACCATGGCTGGGCTTGTCGGCGAGACCTGAACCTAATGTGTCGTTTCCTGTCTTCTCATCAAGTGGGTCTTTCGAGTCAGTGTTGCTCGATTCGGCAACAGTGGGTTCCTGTTTCTTGATGGGTGTTGACTGGGAAGTGCGTCCAGCGGGCACCTTCTGGGCCTGCTTGACATTCTCCAAAGGTGTAGCATCGTCGGTTGTGCGGGACTCCTTGGGTGCAAAGCAGGGCAGACAAGACAACAGGCCACCAGACTTCTTGGTCTTGCTCCGTGTTGATGCTGGACGGTTGGCCGTGGCAGGCATTGGGGGCACTTGCTCGTTCTTCTCGGAGGGGGCAGCGCGCGGGTGGGAGCGCTTGCTGCTCGCCGTGCTGCCTGCGCGTCGTTTGCCCATGAAGCTTCGTTTGGAATGCTTGGAGCCTCGCCCAATGCTCTCAGCGTCTGCTGCGGTTGCGCCGCTGAGGCCGGTGTTGGGAGTCTCGTTGGACTGCGAACCGGATCGCGGGACGTTCAAGAGGGAACGCTTCTGGGTCGAGTCACCTTCAGCAGCTGCAGTCGACGGGCCTTGCGACGAGGATTGGCCTGGAGCGAAGGAGTTGGTGGCAATGGCGCTTTGCATGGCAGCTGCAGCGTGTTAGTAATCAAGTATTCGAGGACGTCAATGTGGTGGTAAGCGACAAACATACCGGTGCCGTTGGCGTGCTCCGACGGCCCTACTGCCTTCTCGCTAGACATGCGGGTTGCATCAGCAGAGAGCTGCGTGGGCTCGGTGCTCATGGCTGCGCGTCGAGTATGTCAGACAGGCAGCGCGCAGGTGTCGAGGGCGTAGTGATAGGCTCGAGGCGGGACTGAGGGCGCCCTGGGTCGTCGCGTGGTGGAACTCGCTCGTGGGTGGGAGCGGTGGCTGGCAGACTGGCTGGCAATGGCGTGACCCGGTCGCGATTGCTCAGATTGATGCGCGAGATGGAAGGAGCGGTCGCCGGTTCTCGCAGCTGGGGCAGTCGCTATCGTCGAGGGAGTCCGAGGGAAGGAGCGAGGGCGACGGGGAGCGAAGCTTGGATGCGCTGCTTGGGATGAGGCTGGTTCGCTAACGCGGACGGAAATGAGACGCCGTCTTTCACCGTCATCAGCGCCAAAGCTCCACAACAACTGCCAGTTCACTGCAGCGGCACGGTTTTCTCACTCTGTCTTGACGCGACTGCGCCTGTGTTTGCGATGCGGCTCTGCTGCTGCTCGATGAATACAATGCGCTCACGGCGACAGTCGTCTGGATAGCAGTATCGGGGCTGTGCAAGACGGCACACTTGGGCGTGACAGGGGCCCTCTTTATGGGGGACCCCCAATAACCACACCTCGCCCCTAGCTCCAATCGCCCTAGCAGCAACATGGCCAGGCCCATATACAATACCTACACTCCACGCTGCACATCTCCAAGGGCAGGACTATTCATCATTCATCTATCCAATCACGCCCGCGACCCCATCGCGGACGCGGCGTGTCACACAGGGAAATGACAGCCAAGCATCTTGCCCCAGGGCACATTAGCCATAGTCCGCAGCCAACACCTCCATTCTCGATTGCCTCTAGGCCCGAGAGAAATACGCTTTCGGGCCCTGCATAATCTCGTCTTCGCGAACCTTCAAGAGCGACCCATTCCCAGACCAGGCGACCGTTCGTGCGGCCGCATTTGCAGTTGACTCACGGTTAGGCGCCATCTTGCCATGGTACGGGGAAGCGACGTCGCGCCAACCTATCACAACTCACATCAGCCGTAAGACCCGATGCGCTTCTGCCGCCAGATGCTGGTCCAATATTGGTGCACCGGCATTATCCTTCCAGCGACGCGCAGCACTTACCAGCCGACTCTCAACACACTCGTCATGTTCCTCGTCGTCGCAGACACTGCAGCGCTGGAGTCGTTGTTCTTGCTGTCACATGTCAGAGCCTGTCGTGTTCCACAGTGGCAAGCGCTGTGCAGGACGGCCCGTCGCCGTGCCGATCTTGCAGTTTCATGCGATGGGCATCCATGTCCGCAAAGGTCACGAGGTCATGAGGCCGACGTCAATGGTTTGCGTCTGCACGCTATCCGCCTCCCCCGCTGTGGTGGTGTGCTATATGCCTCGACGCAAGAGGCTCCCCGCAATGCGCGCCCACGCCGAACGACGCGGGTGAGGCGATCTACGCTCACAAGATCCGGAGAATACGAGCGGAGGATCAACCGACCGTTGAACGCTAATCTGTCTCTCGTACTTGAGACACGCCCCAGTCGCACAGCCAAGTGGCCAGAGTACACGTTCTCGTCACTGTACGACAGTTCTCGAAGTGCGTCCTAAACAGCGGCGTTGTTCCTGATCTCTCACATAGCGCACAAGGTCGGCATACGCGTGACCGGTCAGTATGCTCCCGCAAAAATGTCAAGCCTCCTCCCTATTGAGAAGGTCGACTTCGATTTCTTACAATCCTCCATTGTCATTTTCTCTGCTTCAGCTGCCTGAGGTAGTAGTAGACGTTGTCTATGTCATTTGCGGCACGTTCTGTACCCTGGCTCGCCGTCTGGACTGGTGGTGATGTCGCTCGCTATGGCAGAAGCTTCTGTCGCGTCATTCCTCTGGCTGTGCAGGACCTGCAGTATAACTCGGTCGTTGTTCGGTGTGGGATAGAACCGGATAAAGATGCATGCGACTTCGGTGGTGTGCATAGACTTCAGCACAGCTTCCTAGGAGCCCTATGTTGGTATCGGTATCCGATGATATATGCGTCTGGACATTGTTTCGCATGGTCGAACTCACGACTGTGAGTATGCTTTGGGCAGCTTCACATAGCGGGACGCATCGACTCCATATAGCTTCCGCAGCAGACCAACTCAGTCTAGCGGTTTCCAGAAGAAGCTCTAGCGACGGCAGCCAGCAACGCTATGCTTTCGCGCACCAATCACGACTATTTTGTTTTCTGTTTTAGCTATTTGGGAAGACGATTGTCTCCATCTCAACCCAAAAGAGCTTCGGAATTTTGGGGATCGGAGCCAAAACATCTGCCCATTGGTGTTTCGGAAGGAAAAGTGGGCATGGCGGCTGTTTCTGCATAGCGCACGTTGCTGATCTTGTGTTGCTTGTTCGGCTCAGCATCTCTAGTCCCAACTGCATAATCGTTACAAGATCTGGCATAAGCAATAGAGCATCTTGGCAAAGACAATGGGCGAGAGATCAGAGACCTCCTTTGATTGACTTTTGACAGGAATAGCTACACATACATTCGGTTCAATGCTCTCTCGAACAGATGGAAAGACTGGTCCGAAGTATTGAAGACATTATAGCCGATCAACACGTTGTAACGTCTCTCTTTGGAATACGCACAGTCTCGCTATCCGTATATAGCTTTGATCGGATCGGACATTGAGCCTCAAGCTTTCGGCGATCACGACGGCGAGGCGAAAAACGTGGAGTGTGGGTCGGAGCTCCGCATCTCACGTATGCGGCGCGGTAGTATAGTCTACGGGTCTTCTCGAGCGCAAAAGCAAGCACTACTGACGCCTCGAAGTCGGTACTCGCCCAACAGCCACACCGAAACAGCCGCCTTGCTTATGTCGACCAAAGTCAACTACGACTTGTGTCGTGAACTCACCCTGACAGTGACACGTCCGTGAGAATGTACTCCTAACGATGACACCCGGCGGGGAGGCTAGATGGCAGGCCAGTTTCGACGTATATGCAGGGAAAAAGCAGAGCATGAGTGATGCGAGGCAAGGTGTTTAAGATACATACGACAGCCATGCATTACTGAGATGGTTGATGCTGTGTGAGCTGAGCTGCCCAACTTCCACTCCTTTCCGTGATTGATTCACGTCGCCAGTTTCTTTCGACTATGGCGCTGGCTACTAATCTTCAACCGCTGGCTTATGCCGTGGCCTACGTTACCTTCTTTCTGGGCACCACCTCGACCTTTCTGAGGTTTTACAGTCGTTACGTCGATGAGAGTCTGAGGAAATGGAGACGGGATGACTACTTCGCTGTGGTGGTTTTCATCTTCAGTGTCGCTCAGCAGGGTGTCTTGCACATGTTCCTCTACTGGGGATGCGGGCTGTAAGTACCGAATAGTTACCTTATGTGGAGAAGACAGGACTAACCGTTTTGCGCAGACATATGGACGCTCTTAATACCTTCCAACAACTGGAAATTGTCAAGGTATGCACCAAAGCAAGAGACATACTAGCGAGGACATCTTTACTGACCAAACACCTCAGTGGCTCTTTGTCGAGGAGATAGTCTACTACTCCGTACATTGGGTTATGAAATCCGCCTTTCTCTTCTTTTACCTCCGGCTTGCGCGGGAGAGTGCCGAGTTTAGCTATGCTGTCTACGCTGGCCTTGGTCTTAACACAATCGTGTGGGGATGCAACATGTATGTCCTCATGTTTCCTCACTCTCAATACCATGGAACTGACATCTGAGACTAGGCTTCTAGCTTGCATCCAATGCATGCCCTTTGATGAGATCCTACACCCTGGCACCCATCCCGATGCCTACTGCATGAACAAACTCATCGTCCTCCTGGTGCCATGTCTTTTGGTAAGCATAAACCATAGTACATCACCCCGCAGACCACCCCACTAACCTTAATCCCCAACAGAACATCGGCCTAGACATGTACATCCTCCTTCTCCCCATCGCCATGCTCTGGAACTGCCAAATCAGCTTCCGCAAAAAGATCGCCGTCCTCAGCGTCCTCACCTTCGGCAGCATCTCCGTCATCATCGCCACCTTCCGCCTCATTCCACTCCTCGAATTGGGATCTCAATCTGACGAACCCATTGACACATCCTGGGTTCTCGGCAAAATGATCATCATCGCCGCCCTCGAAACGCAATTCGCCATTGTCGCCGTCAACCTCCCTTCTCTCAAGAAACTCTGCACCAACTTCACCGGAGAAGAGAGTCTCGTCGAGGAACCGCAGAACTTGAGGTGGAAAGCGAAGAAATTGACGAGCCAATGCAGCGACGACTCTGACGACGACGAATTCTACGTCTCGGGTGGAAACGGACGCGGATACCATTGGCGCAAGAGCAAGGCTAGCTCGCATACCAGTTTCCGGACAAGCATCGCACCCAGTTTCGCTACGGATGAGGAATCGCTTCAGGCTAGTGTTGCTGTTGCGCTTCCGGTGCTGTGGGTCAAGTCGAATGTTCAGACGGTGAGGGTGGGTAGGGGGCATGTGAGCAGAGGGCATGTGGTTAGGAGTCTGGTTAGATGTAGTATGGAGAGGGTTGAGGATTGCTTCCCCAGAGGACACTTTTTGAGGACGTATGGCAGGCCGGAGTCGAGGCGGCCAGAGAGTAGATTGCCGACGTGTATGGAAATATGATGTTTGTTTCGATTGGATTGGAATGATGCTATTTAAATGACGGCATTGGCGTGTGTTATCTTCGCAGTATCATATATGGGATCTTGATGTTCAGTATACCAGGTATCGGTACCACCCCGAGAGAATATAAGGCTTCTGCTACTATCTCTACTTCTCTCACCTGCTCCCATCCTCACACTTCCATCACTACACATACACCAAATTCCCTCAATCTCTCATCCAAACTACATCCAGAACTCGTGGCCCAGTGGTAAGACGCTCGCATCCTATCTGGGGTTCAGCACAGCAAGGTGCACCTTGACTGAGGCGGGGCAGGAGGTAACTCCTGGTTCGTCGTTTGCTAGGTGGATGAGAGACACATCGGGCTTTAGCTAGATGTCGTCGAGGTTGGGGTTGGACCATCACGCCGGTAACGGCCTGATGGGAGGTTTTGCGAGAGACGTCTGTTCGAATCAGACCGAGTTCATATTTTTTTGCTAATGATGAGGAGTTGGGGATATGGTGGGATGGTAGGCAAGAGGGGGGTGGTGGGGCCGTGTGGGTGTAGGTGAGGTTGGCATGACCTCGGGATGTTGTAAAAGGATGAGAAGGAACGATTGGACGCGGCGCTAGGATGAGGGATGCTTATATGCACCTTAGCTTTATTAAGTTCATTCTAGTCCTCCTAGTCTTTTGTGCCGCTAGTTCCCTAATCGTCTTCTCGCGCAACTTCTTGATACCTATCTCAACCACCCTCCTACTTCCTAACAGACTGCTTCTTAGGTGAAACACACCTTGACCCCACTGGATCAAGATGACTAACCGCACCCCTTCTACCATGACTGCAGGCGGAACTGGGAGCTTGCTGAGGACTTAGATTCGCCACATGCTGACCTGAGCTATCGCTAGAAGCTTCTCGAGAAAAGCCGAAATCGAAAGGATCCGGTAACTCCTGCGCATCATCGTCGTATGTATTGTGACTTTCGGGAAGCAAAGGCTGCGGCCCCGAGCGAGGAGGTTCGAGAGGCGAGACTGGTGACCACGGGTCGATTTGTTGTGGCGATGTTGGCCAATCAAAGTTGCTGGCTGATGGCAGTGGTGGGAGTTGTATGGGCTCGTTGTCAGATGAGGGCGTCATCAAGTCTCTTGCGAGAACGAGCGCCTCAAAGAACCAAAGAGCACTGCAAGATGTCAGCGCAGCTCTGTATGCGTGGAAAGTTGTACTTACCACTCGATTGTCCCCATGACAAGTTTCGTTACCCATAGTTTGAATAGATACTCTTTGTCGGCTTGTCGGTACCAACCCAGAAAGCACAGGAGAAGAAGGTCGACTAACCAGAGTACGCCCATTAAGACGTGAATCGCAAGATCGACTTTTATGCTGTATGTACTCGGATACACGAATCGGAATGTGATGGAGCCGATGCAGACTGTCATTGTGAAGGTAGCCTCGTGGCAGGGTTAGCTGTGTATGTGGAATTGAATATCGAGACATACCAAGCCCATCGAGAAGAACAGGACGTTTTCTGGAAGGGACGGGTACAGCCACGCGCTGAGACAGAGAACAGCGATGGCAAACGGGATCCGCACTGCGTGCAGAACAACTGACTCTGTCCATCCCGACGGAGGTCCCAGCTGGAAGTAAGCTAGTATGTTGCTCATGCTGGCCGAAGCGAGGAGAACAGTTGGTGATGAAGTTTGAAGGAGACGCCTGTTAACGAGAATGCGATAATACTGCTGTGAAAGATAGAGATGATAACGGTGAGTATAGCATTTTTGTACCAAACACTGTCACGGCTACCAGACAAGACTCACATTTGTCTCAGACACTTCGAATATATGCCCCTAAGCCTCGCCGATCTAATTTCCCATCTTGCCGTCAAAGACAGCTGCGTTGAGACACCAGAGACACGGAGCTTCCACAACCCGATCTACATGAACTCGAAACGTTGCATAACTCTTGATCATTTTAGTCGAAAGCCAGCTTGTGCATATATTTCTACTTGACGCATCTCTCCAGACCAGATCCCATAGCCTAGAATGTTGGCCATCGGGCTAGGTTGCGCGCCTGCCGTACGTGATAATCTATCTCTAAATAGCGTTCCATACGATTAATCCGGCCCTGAAGGTCAACAGCAAGAGCCAGAAGATGTTGCAAGCCCAAGAAGACTGCGATAAGGCCAACGTATAGGATGAGGACAGACACGAAGAAGCAGAAGAATATGACTGCTGCCAGGAAAGCGATGAGCATTTCCGCATCGACCTTGACTAAATCGCGCAGCATTGGTAGTCGGTTTGTAGGAACTGAGGGCTCTCCGTTGGGTCCTGTCGTAAGTCTCGATCGGAGATTAAGCGGGGGAATGAAGTGTAGCGAGAAATCTGTGTCAATAACCCCCAGAGTCATATATGTTCAGTCCTTTGTTTGCTGCAAAACAAGCGCGCGCAAGTGCAGTCAACACCTGTTGCATGTGGAATGTCACAGAATAGCCTTCAATGGCGTAACAACTGTGATTGCGATCTCCTTTGAGACGCGTCGCGAATGCCGTAGCTGCCAAGCTGTGACGACTCGCTGCTCGGAAGAACTGGTGGGATTCGCAATCTAGAATCACTTGAATGTGATGGCATGGCAGTAGAATGAGGAGTAAAGAGTATACTATCGTTTCACTCAACTTCCCTAGATGTGCCCGACTCGTTGCGCCACGCGCTAGTGGCGTGTCTAGCTGACGCACAGACTCCCCCACCTCCTTTCCCAGACTGGTGTCTTCGGATCTGTTCTTCCCATCACCAAAAGGACGCGCCGCGCACTAGTGACGAGGCTTCGACAACGAATCTTATCCAAACAACCGTCTGGTCAACGTCAAAGTCAAAGTGCAAGTCGTGCCGCGGCGGACGCGCCGCCCCACGCTTCCCGTCCTTGGCTTGACCAATGGCATCGCAGAACGTCCTCCCTAAGGTGACAAGTTCAACCACAAGCAAGCATGTGGATATAGACGCGTCCCAATGGTTTCATCGTCCTGGGTATTCACAGAGAACTACGGAATGAGCGGTAGGTAGCGTGGCTGCTTAGTCCTCCGCATTAGGAAGTCCAGACTTGGATCCCGTGTGATGAAGCAAACGATGGCGTCCGCGGTACACTACGAGCTATGAGAATGAATCGGTTGTGTTGTTCCTATATGTAGGCGGAGATACGCCTGATTATGATTGCCGTGAGACAGTTCTGCGGTTCTCCTCCCAAGTCACTCTTTTCCAACAGCCACTCATTTTCAACATGCTTACTTTCTCTTCTTTCTTTGCTGCTGTGCTGTTAGGCGCCATCGGCAGCAATGCTGCGCCACTCATCCAGGAGCGAGGTATGTTGGTAGTGCGACATCTCTGTCGTTGCGTAACTGACGGGTGACAGGTATCGCGCCAAATCTTCTGGGCAACTTCAAGTTGATGGAGCAGTATGCGTCGGCAGCATATTGCTCCAACAACTATGACTCCACCGGAGATCAGATTGAGTGCTCCACTGGCAACTGCCCGCTCGTTCAAGATGCAGACTCTACCACCGTCATCGAGTACAGCCGGTGAGTCTAATCCCAGCCCCCGCAGACGTCAAGTTTCAGCGGGTGTTGAACGGCCATGAACGATCCGGAAGCTAACAGCATACAGAGAGAATGCGATGACCGATGTGACGGGCTTTGTCGCAGTCGATCATACGAATAAACTCGTAGTTGTCTCCTTCCGCGGCACTCACACCATCGAAGACTGGCGTACGAACCTTGACTTCGGCACCACTACAACAGATATCTGCCCAGGCTGCACTGCCCACCGCGGCTTTTGGCAGTCCTGGCTTGATGCGCGCGATAGTGTCTTACCCGCCGTGCAACAAGCAACAACCGCCTTCTCTAGCTACAGGATCACCGTAACAGGCCACAGTCTGGGAGGCGCCGTCGCTACACTCGCCGCCGCCAGTATGCGTACTGCTGGCTACAATGTCGCGTTGTACAATTTCGGATCACCCAGGATAGGAGGAAGTAAGATTAGCTCCTACATCAGCAACCAGCGTGGTGGCAACTTCCGCGTCACGCACTGGAACGATCCCGTTCCTAAGATGCCGTTGTTGACCATGGGATATGTCCACATCAGTCCTGAGTACTACATCAACAAGCCGAGTAGACAGCCGGTATCGGCTGGCGACATCCAGACCTTCGCTGGTGCTGCCAATCTTTTCCAGGGAAACCAGGCCTGGTTGATCATGGATGTCGAAGCCCATCGGTGGTACTTCGACATGGTGTACACCTGCGGAGCGAAGAAGTCGAAGCGTGGAGCTTTGGAGATGAGGGGCGTCGAGGGAAATATGGAGGTGGTGACTACGTTCTGATACCCCGGATAATTACAGGTGTCTTCTTCAACGTCCGGTATAATGTATATTATGTTTAATGTTCAATTCCTGTCCACCCACCCCTTCCCACAAAGCCTTCAAGTCCTTCATCGCTTTCTACTTCTCGTGCCAACCGTCCCGTGATGATGCTTCGCTCATGGTCTCGACCGCGTACGAAGAACGGGTTGAAACCTCCGCTCCATGTTCCCCTTCCCTCGCCTGAGGCATCTAGACGAAACCCGCTATTCTGCCGATCGAGTTGGAGAAACCACCGCCGTTGATGTACCGATCCAATATCGTTCGTAGAGCCGGGATATGCATTCGTGGCGCGTGTCTGGTCATCCTCTTCTGTGTCGGTGTCGAGATCTTGATCCGCTGCTTTCTCATGTACCAATGTGTCCGCGATAGCAGCTTCGTCATCCGAGGTCGCGGGGGTTCGTGGAGCAGAGCTACGCTGAGATCTTCTCCGCCTTCCGTTTCGTCTCGCTGTCGGCTTTTTGATTATTTCATTCGATGGGAGGCGTAATATAACCGTGTAATTGTGTGGCAATCGTGTACCATGTAGACGTAGGCGTATGTAACGAGACTTGAAAGCTGCTACCAGCTTTGAGCTCTCCTGGCACTCTCCGCCTGCAACCTCGCTTCTCTCATTTGCCGC